TCCCCCAGCCAGTTCTACATGGAACCCATTCTGTGGCACAGTCCAGCAAGTGTGCCCATGTGTTGTAGGGTTATGGTTTTGCAACTGTGGTAAGTCGGTAGGTTCCCCTGGGTGGCAGGTACAGGAGGCGTGTGACCTCTCCACAAGGCTCAGGCCATGAGTACTGAGGCCTCTGTGTAAGTAAGGCATATATAGAACCAGCCAGCTTGATTCATGTGATCTATAGATATATACAGGGAAAACTAAGTTTGATGGGGGACACTTGGGTTTCAAGTTTGGCTTTATATTCTAGAAGCGGCACAGGGTGCATTCTTTCCTGGATAGTAGCACACCCTTCCCTTCAGAACTTGGAGGATTTCTGGGACCAGAGTGCAGTTGAAGCTTTGTTCCTCTGTCTCCACAGCTATCCCTACAGTGAGGACTCCAGCCAGGGAGAGCAGTATATGAACACAAGATGCCCTGCGTGGTGTGATCGAATCCTCATGTCCCTGTCTGCCAAGGAGCTGGTTCTTAAGGTAGGAGGGAGCTCTGGGCTAGCCATGGAAGAAGGACTCCCCAGTCTGGGGACATTTGAGTAGACCACTCGGTTGATTGTAAAATGAGTGGAAGGGAAGTGCTTAGTCACCTCCCAGCTGGCACTCAGGCCCCTGTAGGTGCCACTGTCATCTTATTAGAAACACAAAGACCCTGCTCACAGCAGGGTCTAACCATAATTTATTGTATGGTGTTCTGTGTTCTTGTGGGGGTTCATGTGAGTACCTACAGGTTAGGTAAAGCAAAACAGTTTACACCTGGGCTCAGCAGGATCAGGATGAAGGGGTAATATGCTCAAGTCACAGATAGGGAGGGTTTTCACACTTCCTATTACTTTCAGTTCCCATATTTTATAAGTAAATTGTATGTTTTGAAAAGCACCAATATCTGAATTAGCTCTTAGCCCCACCCGTGGATCTAACAGTGAAAGGCATAGGCTCATGAAGGGACAGCGGTTGGAGCTGGGTGTGTGCAAAGCCACAGTCAGACTGAGGTGTGCATGCTTGGCTGAGGAGGAAGTGTGAGAAGAGTCCCCGGGGCTCTCCCGGATGAGCCATTTACGCTCTGCTGCTCCATCCCTGCTCCTGGAGCCCCCTCTCATGGCCTCCCACCTCCACCCCTTCACTGTATAGCATTGTAGTCCCCTTGAGCTGCTACTGGCTGTCCCTGTGCCGAACACCCACTCACACACTTTTGGTCCTCAAGAAACCCTCCCCCAGCTTGTGGGATAGCCCTGCCATCCTCTACCTGAGGCTCTGCTGGTCTTTGCGATGTAGCCACTGACCCCCCAGGACCCAGACTTTTCACCACTTCTGTGTTCCAGAACACAGTGGGTGCAGCTGGTGTTCAGGCTCTGGCCATAGAGAGGGTTTTGCAGGCAGTTCTGCCGGAACCGAGGAAGGGTGTTGGCCAGAAGCCTCTTGGATCTGCAGAAGCCTTAGCACACAGCCCTTCCTTCTAGCTTCATGGGCATGGGCAGTGACCTGGGCCATCTCTGAGGAAAGCCGCTCAGCAACCTGAAGCTACATTATCTGTGGCCTGGGCCTACTCATTGGCTCCCTGGAGATAGAAGTACAAGAATTAGGCATGCAGTAGAGCCGCCCAATTTTCCACAATGGTAGCCTCTGCCTCTCCATGGGACTGAGGTAAATGGAAGAAACTGATGTCATCCACCTAGAAAACAGTTAAGATCATAAAAAGTGCACCTTGTGGTAAGGTCCCTAAGATAAGTGCACTTTGATTAGTGATCAGAAGGCTGCCAGGAACCTGGGGGCCATGCAGGGTGCCATGCACAACTTCAGGAAGGTAACAGTGGAGCTCGATTACATGCACTCACATCTCTGGGTCTCCGGACCCATGATTCGTAATTCAAAACCACAATGCAGACCAGGCTCTGCCTTTTATCTAAGCTGAGAATACAGCCTTTAGGAGAGTTTCTGCCTGCAGGGGCTGGAGTCCCTGGGGCTCACAGAGTGCCTCAGGCAGCCTCCCCGGTACCATCCATCATGCCATGCGCTGGTGCCCTCATCATGTTCTCTTCTGCTTCCTGAGTCCTAAAGCACCAGGCGGCGTGGTGCCTGGGAGCCTTGGTGACGAATGCTCAGTGAGGTGTGCCTGTGTCCTGTCTGAGCCCCTGTGTAATTTGTTTATCTGTCCAAAGATTATGCAGCTGAAAACCCACGATTTTATGCTGCCTTTGTAAATTACCAGGCAGCGTTTGATGGATGTTTCTCTGCTTCCGAGGAGTCAGCCACATGCTCCTGAAAGATGGGCGAGTGTTCATGCATGCCGTGCTGAAGGTTATGTTTTCATACTTTCTGGCAGGCGACTGTGCTGGAAAGTAAATCTGACCTTAAGCTTCCTACTGCATTAAAGATAAGTCAGTTTTAACGTTATCGTCGTAGATGCTTCAGCTGTGGGTATAAAACTCCAGCCTGGTCAGAGTTGACTGACTGATTAGCATTGACAAAAACCTCTGCCTTCAAACCCAAAGTCAAGGGTCTGCCAGGAAGTGCAGGGAGCAGTCTATTAATATGCATACATGGCCCTGGACGGCATGCTCCAGGTTAATAAAGCAGGTTTTCAAGAGCAAGTGTAAATAGGGAAAATGGGAAACAGATGAGCTACTCAGCTCTGAGCACACCCTTAGAAAGGAAGCTCTGAGTGGCACTAATTGCAGGGCTAGGGGCTCTGTGCCAGCCAGCAGACAGGCAGAGGAGACCTGGGGAAGTCCCAACCCCTAGGCTGACCTGCCACCCCTCTCCTCTAGAGGCAGAATTTCTATGGCAGAAGAGCCAGCCACATGCTGACATGTAGCAGCAGCTCCTCCCTTCTCTGATCCCAAAGATCCCTGAAGCCCCTGCCTGTCCCCTCCTGGCAGGACTACAGATTGCCTCAGTCTCCCTACACCCCCCTCTCTCTGTTTGCTTCCAGTCAGAGAGCGAGGAGAAAGTTGCCACCTACGACCACATCGGGCCTAATGTCTGCATGGGAGACCACAAGGTGATGTGTGCAGTGTGTTGCTGGGGTCCAGGGGCTGAACCCCTGAGGGTGGGCATCATATCATCTCCTTTAACCTGGCTTTACCAAGTAAGCAAAGTTACTCTGAGTTAATTTAGTTTTTAATAAAACACCAAAGGATGTGTGAATGAGTGCGCAGAAGAAATGATCGGTCACAACAGAAGACAGTCACACTGTGTGTAAAACATCATGTCATCAGCTGGTTATGATTGAAGGCTGCTTCTTGAGTATACCTTAGGACTGTGTTCCTGGCCTTCCTATGCCGAGCTTACTTCCTTCAGAGTGTGGTAATGCATGTCTCACAAACAAGGTGTGTGTGCACTGACCAGCTGCACAGACTTCCCATGTGTGGCCCACCGTCCCCAGTGACACAGAGGCCAGGTGACAAACTTCAGCCAAATCAGACAAGTCCACATCCTCCATACTCAGGCCTCCGAGGCAGGGACACTGCATACCCTAGTCGTGGGTGCATATATATCCCTCTGCATTTGGAACTTAGTCCACAGCCCCTCACCCTGATGGCTGTCTGCAACCCTACACTCCTTAAAGGAGTACAAAGGGGTAGTGCGGGTCCTTTCAGGGCCCAGCTGTCAGCTCCCAGGTCTAGGCTGTCTCAGTCCCTGCTTTTACACACAGCTGCCTTCATCTCCTCTGGACTCAGGTCCAGATGCTCAGGAGATGCGAGGGCCCAGAGTTCGGGAGGGGTGGACAGCAACCTATACATGCTGACCTCCCCTTCTCTCCACTGCAGCCGGTGTTCCTGGCCTTCCGAATCGCACCTGGGGCAGGTAAACCTCATGCCCATGTGCACAAGTGTTGTGTCGTGCAGTGACGTGGTGGTAAATATGGCTCCTCCTTGCTCTCCTTTGTGCAGCTTTCCTGGTGTGTTTGACCCTTTAACAAATCACTAATTCCACTCCAGGGAAGAGGTGCCAGCGCCATGAGAGGATCCTCGAGAGACCTCCCTGTAGCAGTGTATCGAACTCATCCTCCTAACAGCTGCATCGGAACCCGCCCAAGCATCACCTGCTAGACGGCCGGCCCCACACTTCGCTTCAGCCTCCGGACCTCCGGAAAAGCCTCACATACCTCACTGTCGTGTCTGTCACGTGACATTGTAAACATATTGGGTTTAATCAAGCCACAGTCCTATTGCCAAAACTCTAACAGACAGCAGAGCGCCTGTATTTTAGACTTCACAGTTTTCCATTTTTAATGATTGTCTGTGGAGGAAGCTTCTCCATTTAGAGCCCCAGGTGTCCAGCGTCCCTCTCTGCCAGGAGGAGTGTGCCGGGCACTAGCCCAGGCAGCAAGGCTGCCATGTGTGCTGAAGCCCGAGGCCCCGAGGTCTGACTCTACTGCCATGTGACATGGCGTCTGAATCACACTGCAGCTGCTTTCCATTTTTATATATATAAATACATATAAATATATACTTTTTAAAAATAATTTATAAATCTTACCAAAACTTATGCTGAGTATACTTTCCAGTATGAGTGCACGAGTGTCCTAAGCAGGCAGAGCCACAGCCTGGTTGGATGGTGAGTCCAGCAGCAGTCAGCACAGGTTCCCCAGACAAGACCTAGCAAGTGCCCAGGGGAGAGGGGCCCCTGCGGCATGCCTGTACTAGCAGCTTGTCACTCTTCTGCCTTTCTCTGTGTAATATTAAGAACTGAATGTGAAGTTTATAGCTAGCCTGGGTGTACCTTTTAAGAATTTTGTAAACCGTTTTGTCTGTCTTTTGTTACCGTTTTATGGTGCCAAGTATCCTACATTAAAACCATAATCTCGTGGGAGAAGTAGAAGTAGCCTCGTCCACTTCCCACAGATCGCTTCTAGCATGGGCTGTGTGTAAACGTGGCAGAGAAGCGATGGGTGACGCTGGGCACAGCCTGTCGCCCTTACACCCAGCACTGAGTACCACGGAAGGCGCCTGCGGAGCCTGCTGAGGAAACACAGCGTGCTTTTATTGATTTACTTCTGAACACTACAGTTCCTGGATGGGGCGGAGGCGCGAGTTATTGTCTGTCGGTTTCCCTAGAAATCACCGAAGGCCGGCCTGTGTCCTTGATGCCGGCCGGGGTCGGGTCTGTGACTGCCATGGTCGCTCCTTGCCAATGTGCCATGTCCGCAGCGGTTTTGTCTTTGGGTTCCAGCTGTGGGTCCTTCCTCTGAAGGCCTCTGGAAGTGACTGCTCGGTTCCTAAGCAATAAAATTGATCATGGTGAAAACAGTTCCTGCGTGGTCTCCTGATTCACTCTCCAGTGCCTTTGAAATGCTAAGTGCCGGGAGGGGCCTCCTTTGTGCCCTGTTTGCTCTTGCCCATTCTGAGTCTGGGAATTTCAGTGTCCCATTCTGCCACAGGGCACCAAGCCCTCAGGAAAAAATCACCTCTTAAGACTTTTTACTGTAGTGTAAAAATGCTGGTTCCTCACTATTTTAAATGGAATTATACAAATGCTTTTCTTTTGCTTTGAACAAAACCTTTCAACAAGATTTCTCTACTCTGAACTTTGGTGGGGAAGCAACACAGAAAGAATTACACTGCTCCATTTAAGAAAAACAAAAAACAAACAAACAAAAAACCTTGCTCCCTTTTAAAGAAAGTCAGCCCGTGGATCGAAAGAAGCATTTGGCTTTGGCTGATGGAGCCACAGCACAAAAGGCAAAACAAAACAAGCTTTTCATGGCTCTAATAAATATTTTTAAAATGCCCTACAATAGAAATCTTGTGATTAGCTCATTTTGAAATTCCCCATTCAACAGTCAGTGCGTTAAGGTGCAGCTGTGGAGTATCAGGCAGACTGAAGATGCCCCTCCCCCCCTACAGGGAATTGTAGCCTTGAGAGGTCATAGGGTGGAGGACGCCAGACTCTTCCGTGGCCAGGTATGAGCCAGGGTCTTACAGATAAGTCTAGCTCAGGTAGGAATGGCAATGGTGCACTGCTGGTCACTCCTGTGCTTCCGGTCAGCAGTGACCCTAGCTGAGGGCCCTCTGAGAAACCGTGTTGGGTGTCAGGGCTGTTGACATGGGCTGAAGGCTTTGGGCTACATAACCAGAATTCTCACACCATCTCTGCAACCCTGCTTAAAACCATGCTTTCTCCCAAGGAAAGTGTGTTGACTGACAGCCTGGGGCCCGGCAGGGTGCAGAGCCTCCTGCCTTATTACCCACAGCTGGAGTTTAGTAAGTAAGTACATCATATTGGAATTTTGGCTAAACGGGATAATTAGTATGACATACTTGTGACAGACCACAGCCCATACTTTAAGACAATGCTTATTTGGCCTGAACCAGGACAGGGCACTGACTAACAGGACCCACTCATTGCCCCAGCTTGCAAAAAAAAAAAAAAAAAAAAAAAAAAAAGGAGGAAGGGAAGGGGAGAGAGAGAAGAGAGATTTTAAAATTAGCACGAGGGTGCTGGCTGCTTGCAATGCCATCAAGTCTTGCTGGACTTTGGGGCCCCTTCAAGTGTTTAATGTCTGTCCCGCTTCATTCATTTGAATCAAGGGCACATCATGGTTCATCTTCGGGAGGGGTGCAGCGGATGCCATACCTCTGGCTACAGGAAATAGAAATCATACCTGCTTTGGGGTCTCTTCCACCGAGTTCTCTGCTGGTCTGCCTCCTTCAAGCAGTACGCTGCGGTGTCCTTCCCTTCCCGGGCTGCGGATACTGCCTTTGCTGGTACTGGGGCTCCAGATGCTCAAATCTCACCACTTCTGTATTCGTGTAAGCTGCCATCACTGTGGGATCTGGGACCATCACCATGCGCTGAGCCTCTGAACCCAAAGCGCACACGGGCCCCGGGTCGTCATCAAGCACTGTCGCGCCCCCCTGTGCCAGGCCCTGGCGCCCACAGGGGCAACAGGCTAGGTAGGGGCTGGTCGGTCCTGCCGCCCGCCCGCTGGCACCAGTTCCGTAAGGAAGAAACACGATGTGCAGCCTTGGGAGCCACAGCTCCGACGGGGACGTGTTAAATAATTTATTGATTATACAAAGTGACCGGCCCAAACCCCCGCACTCCGCACCTCACGCCGAGGCCGCGCCAATGTCCGCTTTATAACTTATTCTGTAAAAATATATATACACACTGCGGCTGGGCGGCTGGCGTCGGGGCATGCCGCGAGCCCCGGTTCCCGGGTTCTCTGGCCTGGCCGCATCCTCACAAGGTGTCCCCCGCGCTGCCGCCGCACGGGCTAACCAGCGCCAAGTTCGAGGGTTTGTGCTTTTTGAGTAGCCGCGTGATCTTCTCGTCGTCGGAGTTGGGGTCCAGGGGCCGGTTGTATTCGTCATCGTCCTCCGCGTCTGAGCCGCCCACCTTCAGCTTCTCAGCATCCGAGTCCTGCTTCTTTTTAGCCGACGCCATCTCTGCCGCGTGCCGCTTGCGCCACTTGGTTCGCCGATTCTGGAACCACACCTGGAGGTTGGAGAGGGATCATCAGGCGAGCACCGAGGCTCGCCACACCAAACTAACACTGGCACCAGCGCTTTCCGCGGTCGGGCCGCAGCCGAACGGCCGCTCTCCCGCCGTTCGCAGGACGCGGGCTCTGGGCCCCGCCTCAATACTGCTGGACCCCGGCCCATTCGAGCTCACCTTCACCTGGCTCTCGGTCATTCCCAGAGAGTAGGCAAGCCTCGCGCGCTCTGGGCCTGCCAGGTACTTGGTCTGCTCGAAAGTCTTCTCCAGCGCGAAGATCTGCTGGCCCGAGAAAGTCGGCCGTGAGTGTTTCTTCTTGCCATCCTTGTCCAGGACCCCGCCGGCTTGGGCTGCGAAGAAGAGCCGGTGAGCGCAGTCCGCGGCCCGCGCCCAGCCCCGCTCCTCACCGAATCCCGAGTGGGTCACTTACCCGAGCCCGCCAGGCGCGGGTCCCTCCAGGGAGAGCCCTGCACCACTCCGGGCCAGAAGATGGGCGGCCGCCCAGGCAATTCCGCCAGCGGCTTGGGGTAGCCCCGTGCCACCGCTGCCGCGGGCCCGAAGTAGACACCTGCAGACGAGGCGAGTCCGTTGAGGCGGGGCAGTCCTCCCAGGAGGCCTCCACCCGCTGCGCCCACCGGCCGTCCCAGGATGTCGCTGATGCCGTGCGGAGTGCCCAGAGGCAACTGCGCGCCAAGGCTGCCTAGGGCGGGTGCCTTGAAGCCGGCCGGGCCTTGCAGCGCGTAGGGGAACAGCGACGTCTTCATCTCAGCCATGTTGTGCAGCGCAGCCAGCGGCGCGCTGCTCAGCACAAACGCGCCCGGGCGGTTAGCGTCCATGGGCGCCGCCGCCGCCGACCCGGGCTCCCATCCGGGCCCCGCTGCCACCGCCCGCGCCCTCCGACTCGGGAAGTTTGAGCGCGGCGCCGATGGGCGCCGGCTGCACTAGGACGCGTGGAACGCGTTCAGACGGACGACGACGGCCCCCGAGGGAAAGCAGGAGCTCCGACGGCTGCAGCGCGTTCAGATTGAAGGCAGCGGTCAGAGAGAAGGCAGGGGTACTAGGATGCGCAGCGGCGGCGGCGGCTGCTCCGGGCCGGTCGGAGCGGCGCCGCGCGGGACGGACGCACTGATAACCGCGGGGCCTGGGCGCGGCGCGCGCGCTGATTGGCTGCAGGCACTGGCAACCAGGCCATTGGCCAACGTCCGGCCCGTCTGCGCGCGCCCCCGCCGGCCGTGCACTCCATGAAGGGCCCATTAGCGCGGCAGGTGCCTCCGGGGCTGTAAATTTGCCCCCTGATTTATCTCCCCAGAGATGAAATAAATCCCGTTGGATGGGAGTTTAGTTAGGCAAAGGTTTTAATGAGAAAATCAGGAAAAAATACGAGAACATATTTTATGACCGAAAGAATGTAAATTTCAAGATCCACTGCTCAAGCTCAGTATGCTCAGTTCAGGGAAGAGCCTGGAACTGCTGGACGCCACGGGTCAGGAGGCTCCATCCTGAACCAGGGACCAAGCCGAGTATAGCGGCTCCTCGGCCTTCCCAGTTTGTGATGGTGCCAGCTGGATTGAACTTGTGGGTATCACTTTCCTGAACGCAAAGGGATGGATTCTAGTGACCAAATGGCTAGATTTGACTCTCTCTGATCTACCAAATTCCGCCAACTGACATTGGCTCCAGACAATGTAGGGACAAGGCTGGTGGCCCTGGTACCGTGTACACACCTGTTAGACTACGTTGCCCGGCCCCAGGGTTCTGAACTCCCTGAAGTTGGGTAGGGTATTAAGAGACTTGGCTTTTCCCTCGAAGTTTTCTGATTATGAGGCATTCCCCTGGGAGGTTATCAGAGCCAAACTTTGAGACCCAGGACCAGGATTCGTCTGCCCGTGACTTTCCAGCGAGCTGAAGCTCAGGCGACCAGGCCCAGGATGCTATGACCTCGGAATTCAAGGTCCAAAACGAAAAAGATCACCACACCCAGTGGCTTAAGATGGACACGCGCTTTCAGTCTAGAGGGCAGCGTGGGCTATAGACCGGCCTGTGGGGCCCACTTGGCCCTAATTCCTTTTCTAGTACAGGGGCTTCTCACCCGATAGAATTGCTAGGGAGAGGGTAACTGAAATTGTAGCGGACTAGAGCCTGGAAAGGCAGACTCTGAGAAGTTTGCTCGCTGGCATATTCTTTCCTCTTGGATGATGCCTCCGGTTAACCTTGTAATATCTACTAGTGATTGTGATACAACCTGTGGAAACAGACCGTTTTCTGTTCTAAGGATCTAGGCAGAGGCCCTGTGCCTTTGTGGAGCAGTTTGCTAACAACGACTTTCCCTTTTTGCCCTGATCTGCAGAGTTTTTGTGTCGTGGATGAAAGTGATCCCAGCGGCTCCATGTAGGGGCCTAAAGTCCATTCCCGCTGCTCCTCTTGGAAGTTCATTTTCGTTTTTGTTTCTTTGTTTGTTTTGTTTTTTGTGGGGTTTTTTTTTTCAGTTAGTGTCAGGGTCTTGTCGCCACGGGTCTCCACAGGTCAAGGTTTGGAAAACCGTTTTGTGGCAGGAACTGGAAATAAGTTCTGTGGTCGTCCTTGACTCGTGAACAACCTGGCACCTGAGAGAGTATGGGTGATATTCTCACATACTCCCGTGGCCCCAGCGCCTAGAGGTCTCAGTGTGTTGGCTTCGTTGGCTGAATCTGGACTCGCGGGATCGGTTTGGGCGCAGCCAGCGATTAGAGGGAGTACAGTTCCCTCCAGCAGGGAGCACAGGCCCTCTGGACCCCTGGGCTGCAATGATACCCAGCCTTTAGACCGACCCTTTGCCTCTCTCTCGCTCCACTTTGATTACGACCGCGAGCGCTCCGAGGATCTGGCCATTGGAAGAACAGTCCCGGTAGAGTGTGGACTTTACTGGGCTCGCGGGAGACCACAAGGGAGTCCAGAGACTCCAGCTCTTGAGAAGAGGGATCCAGAACTGTGAGCCGCGTGGGGGGTGGGGTGGGAGAACGCCGAGCGGGCGGAGTCGGAGATGCTGAAACCTCCTACTCTGCTCCAAGCAGACCCTGAAAGTAGGAGCTGGCTAGGGAGAGCGCGGATCCTCGGGAAAAGTGTTCCGCGAGGCACACCGCGACAGGGCAGGTGTGTTACAGCCTTTCGCAAGCTCGCGGAGCCCCCGCTGTGAAGGCAGAGAGTGCCACAGTTCCACTCTCCTGCTCTGTTTTTTTCTCACAGGCCTGTCCCAGCCTCGTTAAATCTGGGAATCCAGAGATGCAGCCGCCCTTGATCCGTGTACACCTCCCGGCCCACTCCACTGGGTACGAAACCCGCGTTCTGTCTGGATACACATTTCGTTGCTCTCTCTGGACGCGATGAGCCCAGTGTGCCAGATGAGTGAAACTGGAGTGTGGGCTGAGGGCTGGAGTGAGTTGTTTCGCTCTCTGCGGGCGCGCTGGACCCTACCTAGAGCCGGGAACGGGGGAGGGGGCGGCGCTTCCTACCCCTGAAGGCTGGGCGTAAAATCTTTTTTCCCCAGCGCAGCCAGCCTGAATGGAGCGGCTAAGCTGCCCCTTCCCCACAGAGTTCCCACTTGCAGGAGCTCCTCCTGTACCCACAAGTTCTGCCCTCTGGGTTGGGCCAAAGGTGATGCCCCTCCAAGCCCCAACCCCGCGCACTCCAACCGATCAGAAAACGCTAGATCCTTCGGCCGGCCCACGGAGACTCGATCCCTAGGGGGCTCCTTCCGTGTGGCTATAGAGAGGTTCGCCATCTCTGGGTCTTGAAGAAAATGTCTGATAAGGAAGACTGATGGCTCTTTCTATGCAAACCTAACTCGAGGGGTTGGGAGATCATTTGCTTGCCATTCGGCACTTTCCTTAGTCTGCGTAGGTAATTTGTTGTGCCCCCGTTGAGTGCCTAGTGGCTCTGCCTTGGGTGAGTGCCCTGAAGGTAGCTAACCGCGGCTTCCAGGTCCCCTCCCAGCTACGGGAAAGGCGAATGGAACTTAGGAAGCAGTGTGGGAGTGGAGACTATTTGTGCTCCTAGAATGGAAGGGCTCGTGGAAGGGGACAGGTTGTCACAGTGATTTGGCAAGCGCGAGAGGCGTCCAGACTCCACGCTCAGGCGAGACCCTAGCCTTGAAGCCGTTGACTAGAACTGCTCGAGGCGGCAGCTGCTAGCTTTCCTGCGCTGGACTCCACCCATTCTGGGCTGCAGTCTTGGCAGCCCTTTCGGGAGCTTTGTCCTCTGCACAGGTGTGAACACTCCCCAAAATGCCTGTGAGAGACTCAGCAAGCGGGGTTCCAGCCTCGGAGTGCTTTCAACGGTTTGGGGCGGGAGGGAGGGGGTGACAATTGCTGAGTCACTAAAGCTGTTGAACTTCCTAACCGCACTCACCGGCGGCTGGGGATAAAAGGGAGGAAATGGGGTACAAAGGCCCCAAGGATTCCCTAAGTGGAATCTACCCTTCCCTATTTCTGGGACTTTTGAAAAGGCCAGCTAGGATGATGCTGTGAGGTTGCTTAAAGCAATAAAATGAGAAGATGGGTGTCCCTTTCTCCAGCGCCCTCTAGCGCCCTACCCCCACCGCGGCAGCAGAGGCTAAGGTTGTTGGAGACCCTAGGCCTGGCCAGGAGTTCTGGGAGAAGAGCATTGGCCTGAGGGACTGGGTGAAGGTCCTGAGGCAGAGACCTTTTCCTTTCATCTCCTACCTGCTCAATTGCTGCTACCTGCCTTGACTCCCTTTCCAGCAGCGGTCAGAGTGACCAGGCTGGGGCCCCGTGCTTCCTGCTCCAGGTCCCCTGTGGATGAGGGGTCCAAGTTCCGTGTACGCTGAGGCTGAATAAAGACGATTAAATAGCTAGGGCTACAAAGAAGACACTATCTAAAACAGTACATGGAGGCTTCATATGAGAGTGTTGCCAACAGTTGGTAAAAGGGAATTGAGGAAGAGGATGGGGAACAGGGAAATAGAGGCCCTGGTACATAGCTGGGTCAGGGAGGGAAGAGGCAGGCCTCCGTTTGCTTGAATAGCACGCATGTGGCTCTCAGACTCAAGAACTGTGTCAAAAACGGTAGGAAGCTGAAAGAGGGCCTGAGGCAGGACGGAAGTCTGCCCTGACAGGAAACCGCCTGAGCAGCAGAAAGGGGTGGAGGAGTCCAGACGTTGGTGAAGGATGAACCCACTGAGATTGGCCATGGAGGGTGGGGCCCCTTTTTCTTTCCCCACACCTTTGGGATTTGCTGAACCTCGCCAGGCATCTTCTGCCCTGTGAGGCCCCCCCCCTGCACTCCATCCCGTCTCCTCACTCCAGATCTCTTCTTTACAAGCCTTTCGCTTTGACATATGCAGCAGCTTCCAGGGAAATGTAATGAACTGAAGACTTTTGCCATCCAGTTTCTTCCATGATTCTGCTGAACTGACTGTTTTCTCCAGAGGAAAATGCTACCAGCAGCATCCAGGACCCCTTTCTGCAGACCCGGTGGCCTGTGACACATTCTTCCAGCCACATGTACTGTAAGGGGTGTTGGTCTCTATCACAAGCCTGTCTTCCTATAGTTCTCTGGGTATTAAGGTCAATCCAGGCTGTCAGGAGCAGCATCTCCAGAAGGAGGGGTGAGGAGGGAACCTTGGACGGGGAAGTTCTTTCCCATGTTTTCACTGAGGCCCTGGGAGAAGAAACTACACTCACAGGGGTGTGAAGAGCCTCTGAGATCTGGCATAACTAGTGCAGGGCAGGAGATTCTGCATTCCCTGCTTCCCAGAAATTCACAGATTCACAGATGGAGTCACAGATCCCTGCTTGCCCGTGCACAGGGGTGACCTCAAAGAGAGACAACCGGTTGTGCTAGGGAGTTAGCTTTGCCCTGCTAGGAATTGGATGAGCAAGAAACTGCAGTGACCTCAGAACTACCTCATTAAGATGCCTAGGGTTCTAGAGAGCTCCAGGCCATAGCCTGAGCAATGACCAAGGGAACAGATGGTCGCATAAGTGGGAAGGTCCTCACAAGAATGTGTGGGACCCCTCTCCAACACACAGCCTCTGTGTGTGTCCACACACAGGTGCCATCCTGGAGCCAGGTAAGATCCTATATGTGTGCAAAGAAGAGGCTAG